AAAGTCCAGTAATTTTTTTAATACATAAAGGTCGGTACTATAATTTTTGTGCAGGAAAACCTCGGGACTTCCGTAGCAACGATTTTTTAGAAAAAGGCAACATCCAAAAAAGTTTACCAAAAAAAAACCCAATCAAACAAACAAAAACAAACAATCAAAATAAAAAAAATATATAAAACTATCTGTTTACCACAACGTATAATCCTACGTCAGAGGATGTGAGCTTTCTATTTTCGGTACATTTTTTTGTTCAAATGTTTGAATTTTCGTATTTTTACCCTCAGTTAATTCAACAACAAATGCAAGAGGGAGAAAGCTTATATGTATGTTTAAGCAATCTGCATTTTTATACCTATCCGATTATGTTTACAATTTGCGTTATATTTAATGACAAAACTATTCCCTTAGCTTGACATTTTTAAGCCAAAATTCAAGTGTTATGAATATTAATTCTGTATCAGAATATTTCATCAGAAGCAATTACGTGCAGGAAACGAAATTGATAACTTTAATTGTATTTGGTAAGTAGGAAATTCAACGTTCTGATCGAATTGTGATTATTCAGTAAGGAAGTTTCCATATTTTCTAAGCAAATATCGAGTAAAAGGATAAGTCAAGAGTTCTTAGTTTTGTTAATTGGTCTTCACACAATGACAGAAACTGTAAATAGGTCTTCAATATTATTTTCACTGGTCAAATTAATTTTAGATGTCTAAGTTTGCAAAAATGATCCCTTTGATCCCCCATACCTATCGAGAGGAAGCTCCTTGTCTACCCCCACTTTGCACCTCAGATTAAATCTGTGACTTCATGCTGGACTTTTACGAGTAGCGCTGACTTTTACAGTTGACAGCTTCCTTTTACACTAGAACAATGTACGGACACTTTTTTACGATATAAATATTTAGCCCAACATTTAATTCAACCAAAAAATGGTTATTTCAAAGCGTTAATCAGTTATCCTTAAAGAAAACGACAACCATCCCACCCTCAACTCCCGGTCTTCACATGTTAGTGCCCCTACCAACATTAGGGGCACTTATCTATGACCTCTAGAAAGGTGTTCTTTCCCTACCTCCATACATGATGAAAGTTTAAATGTCAAGAAAATCGTCAACTGTAATAGTCAGTGCTTCTCGAAAAGTCAACTACACACTAGCAAAAAGGATTATACTGTACATCACTGACTTTCACCAAAATTCAAGAACATACATTAGGACACACACAAACCCTTAGTGAGTTACATGCTTGTAGTGATGAATGCTATTTGTGTCTAAATAAATTGAGTATTCAACGCCTGCACTTCTGTTATTTCCATTCAATTTCATTGTATTTTTTGCAATTAGAATGGAATACCTTAACTTCTTAATTGGTGATTCAATATTCAATGTCGATTCCTTACATACCTTGCTATGAACAAAATGACATTCCTATCACTCAAGGATGCTTGGTTGCAAGTTTGTATAAAACTGACCCAGTAGCTCTTCCGTGAAAGTCAAAAATGTAAAAAGTTTACAGGACGAAAGACGGACACGCTGGACACTTTTCGATAGGAAAGCTCATGTGAAACTTAAACATGTAGTTATGTTATTCTGTCTGAGAAAACTCCAAAACTCAAAAAAAAAAAATTACTACATTTATAATGTTTCACGTCAATATTTTTTCTCAGTAATTTGTTGAAAAAAAATTAAAATGAATGTATATACTTCATGACATTTTTGCTATTATTACTACGTTTCACATGAAGAAGGCATGACATTGTAGAGAACGTTAACGAAAAGTTAACTAGTATCACCCTTAAGAGTAAATGTAACTATTGAGGTTGTAAAACTTACCTGAGATTCCTACGATAACGCGACATCTTTTTAATATGTTGACCAAAACAAAAACAATCAAACAAACAAAAATTATCACAATTTTAAAAAAATGTAACAATCTGTTTACAAATTGTATAATCCTACGTGGGGATGGGAGCTTTCTCTTTTTGGAACTTTTTTTCTGTTCAAATGATTGAATTTTTTATTTTTACACCTTCAGTTAATTTAACAAAAGTCCCGGCAGAACTTATATGCAATACAAATAAAAACTAGCAGACATCTATTTTTAAATATATAAAGCTAGGGAGTATTTTCATCTATTGCATTCATAGGGCTATAGACGCAACTTTTTCTTCTATGACTCAGATTTGTTTTTCACACTCGCATAGATAAGCTCTACTACACAAGCAATATGAATTCAGAAATATGTCATTTATTTTATGTGAAATTTTGTGCACAATGAATAAATATTAATTTTTCTCCGCAAAAAAGAAAAAAATCATTCCATATGATTAGAAATGCTGATTTTTATCTTTGAAAAATTAATTTGGTCAATGTATTTAAATATGTAATAAACTATAAATTGAAACATTGAAGAGAACTGAACAGATCCCAATTCTTTTTATATTTTTGCGCAGAACAATAAGGAAAACACTTCACGCTTGGGCGTTAAAACATTCAGAAAAAAACGAATATCTTTATTAGTTTATCTATTTCAAGAACTATAACGATTTCAGGTCTTAAAATTGTTTATTTGTTTTTTGAGGTTTTTTGTTTGATTGCTGAGAGCATCATGGAATCCCTAACAAAATACTATAGTAAATTTATATTTTAGTATAGTAAATCAAAGTTCCAAAGTTTTCTCCAAAGTAAATCAAAGTTCCGAAGTTTTCACCATAGTAAATCAAAGTTCCAAAATTTCACCATAGTAAAAGTTTTAAAGCTTTCGCCATAATAAATCGAAGTTCCAAAGTTTTGGCCATAGTGAATCAAAGTTACAAATTTGTCACAATAGTAAATTAAAGTTCCAAAGTTTTCACAATGCTAGTAAATCAAAGTTCCAAAGTTTATACCATAGTAAATTAAAGTTTTCACAAAAGTAATTCAAAGTTCCAAAGTTTTGACTTTGGTACTTTAAATAACTATAGTTTACTATAGTATTTTTTGTTAGGGATATGCCAACAAAGCAATAATTGTTGTAATTCATAATGCCATGTCCATTGACCAACGTTGTTTGTTTCTGAAACAAATCAAGCTCCTTTCGCCCGCAGACTAAAGAGACATATTAAACATTTCTCTTCTTAAATCAAAATATCCTCATAAGATAAGGAGAATAATACTCTCTTATACTTACTATCTTTCAAGACTTTAAATTCATATTTCGTCAAATAAGTTACTTCAGAAGATGGTCCAAAAGTGGTTTTGCTCAAGTTCGCCGGAATATTGCGATGCTTTCAACGTGTAAAGGTACCCGGCGAAAAATAAACACACAACTCTTATCTAGTATACATAACGGACGGTTTTGAATTATTTTTTTCAAATTCCAGACAAAGTATAAATATATATAACATAAGAAATGCTCTCTCTATGCATCTCTCTTCAAAAGTAATCAAAGGAAGGTTCCAACCCACAGCCCCCTTCTTTATCCGTTAATGAATTTGAAATTCAACTGTATAATACGCACAAGCGAAAGATTCGTTTAATTCTGTGGTTAATTTTAATTGCTACATTACAATTTTTATAGATACCAATATATTTTACTCGGTGAAAAGTAATTCCCAGAGCTTGCCTGTTTACAATTTAAACATTTTATGTATTCCGGATGTTTTTCAATTTGTTAAACTCTTCACGTATATCTGAACACGAATTGAAAATACTAGCTACATTGTAGCTGGCTTTTGCTCTCACACATTTCCAAATTGAATTTTCTTGATGATAGTTTTAATATTTCTTATTATTTTTTTTTCTATTTTTAAATAGTAAGGATAAAGTTTACATTGTAAAAATGCAAGGAATAGTGCGAATTAATTAAACGCGTCCCGAAATTCGTAAATTCAAACATTTTCAGATAAAACAAGTTTGTTATTATACGGGTTTTTCCGTGTGAAATGCTAGCATGTCTGTCATGATATTATACAGAAAATTTTCATCCTATCAAATATGCTTTGGGTAATTTTCTTCTTAAGTTTTCAAGAATGTTTAAATTTTAAAAGAAAAGAACATTGACACACTTGTATATTAATTGCGTCATCTATTAAAATAATCTTGTAGTGTTTATCAAAGATTGTAAAATTCTTACCTCTGATGACTGAAGTATAGTTTTTGCTGCAGTCGCATGAAAAACATAACTGACATTTTGTTTCATTACTCTCCAAACAAATATAAGCATTGTAGCCACAAGCCTTGGGACATTCCTGCTCACATTCAGTGCCATATTTACCGTTAGAACATCCATACAAACATTTTCCATTCACATCACATTCATTACGTATGCAGCCATCGTGACATCGCTTTTCACACATTGTACCATAGAATAGATTATTTTTACATTGTGTGCACAGGTTATTTGATAAACACGATGAACAGTTTTCGGGACACTGGAAACATTCTGCTTCATTTAGGAACCAAGAATCCTCACATCTCAGACATTTTACTTCATCATTTCCTTCTATGAAACCACAGTGTGCACAGCCTCCCGTAACAACACTGCAGTCATGCTTACACTGCTCACCAAACCATCCATCTTTACACCCATGAACACACGTCTGATTGCTGAAACAGGTGACATTAAGACAGTTTGCGCTGCACTCGTTTAAGCATTTTCGTCCATATCTACCTGGAACACAACTTTTACACTCTCCAGTATATTGATCACATTTTCCAGGTGAATCACAATATTTACTACAAGTGTATTCACAAAAGTTGCCATGAAGTTTAGAAGAACATGTTTGACAGTAACCTGATTGAATATCGCAAGATCCATTTCCTCCACACGAAGAAGGGCACATTTTAGCACATGTTACACCGAAATATCCATCTTTACAAGTTCCACAACTGTATCCATCTTGACTACACCAATTACAATTATTTGGACACGTTTCATTGCATTTAGAACCACTGTATCCTCTCTTGCATTGCTCACAGTTTCCATTCCTAACACATGATTCCCCAGCACAATTTTGTGGACATGTGAGATTGCAGAAATGACCATAAATGTTATCTATGCAGTTAACACACACCCCAGTCAATTTTTCGCAACCGCTTTGACATTTTCCAAGGCAAGTTTTATTACAGGTACTTCCATAATAACCATTACTGCATGACAGACATTCTCCTGTATTTTGGTCGCATTTATTGTTTAAACAACTTGCTGGACAAGACATGGAGCAGTTTTCTTTGAAGAAACCTGTTTTACATTTACAATATCCGGTCGTCATATTACAACGTTCAAGACAACCCAACGAACAATTTATTTCACATCGATTACCAAAGAAGCCTTTCTTACATTCAAAGCAATCGCCTGTATGCAGATTACATCCTCTTTCATTAAAGGACTGAGGACAACTGTTCTTACAAGACGTTCCATAGAAACCCCTGCGACAAACACAACTGCCAGAAACTTTGTCACACGCTTTGTCACAGCCTGTTGGACACATGTTGCTGCATTTTTCCCCATAAGATCCATCCGTGCATTCTAAGTTTACAAAAAAAGTTGAATATCAGTTAATCAACGCAATGATAAATGTACGTAATGCCATTTTCACGAATGTTGTGTATTATTTCCCTATCTTTTAAAGATTTATATATAGGAAGAAATTATAAATACATGAAACAAAATATCCCTATCTTTATGATTATTACAAAATCAAAGAATAAAATATTAGTTCTATTTCTAGTGTGAGTTAGTTACCAGTCTACTCAAAGTCTCGTTCTTTATTTCTATTCTATACATGACCATAGGTTTGGTAGACAAACTTATTTTGGCTCTAAATGTTAGAATTCAACTTAGTAGGTAGGATTACTTAAAAAACAAGACTTTCGAACGAAATCTCACTTTCACAGAGAGGTTTCACTGTATAACACTAGTTTCCTATAATTACATATAACTGTTAACTGTCTTTGTGTTAAAATTTATTAGATCATATAGCATGCTATGAACAAGAAAATAACAACTGGCTACTTGTATCGACAATGTTTCTTTATGGAACGCCGTCACTGCCTTATAGCAGAACACTACTATTGCATTGTGTCAACCTTCCATTACATTATGTCAACTCTTTATGACATTAACCCACACTACTATTGCATTGTGTCAACCTTCCATTACATTATGTCAACTCTTTATGACATTAACCCACACTACTATTGCATTGTGTCAACCTTCCATTACACTATGTCAACTCTTTATGACATTAACCCACACTACTATTGCATCGTGTTAACTTTCCTTTACATTATGTCAACTCTTTATGACATTTACACACGCTACAATTATATTTCGTCAACTTGCGTTTCGTTATGTTTACTTTTCATGAGATCTTAGTTTTTATTAACTGATGTGAAAAGCTCATGCCATACTGTGCGCACTCTTCTACATTATGTCGATTCACTATTACGTTATGCGAACGCGGGTATCCTCGGCCTTTATATGAGCATAACGTATTTTCCGCGTTCCGCAAGCACTAAAAATGGCGGGAGAGAAAACTGTCGTAGAAGAGATTCTCAGCGATTCGGGAATGACATCTTTAAATGAAAACTTTAAGCGACAAATGATTGACAATCTTGAAACGTGCAAAGCCTTAACACTGCGACTGTGAATTAAAGTCACGTCGAAATTCAATTGTGTTTACTTTAATCTCATAATTAAATAAATCAAATATTATGAGTCGTGCAGCACTCATTTTTTTCTTTTTATTTTGAATTTTTTTTTTATAAAAGTTTTAAACTTTGAATGACATAGCATTAGTTTCACAATAAGCCTAGCTGAATTAAGTTGAAAACTTTTTTCTATAAAACTATAAAGCCTGAGAGCTTCTCCGCTTTCCGCCCTTGCTCTCCAACCATTTACCGTCTCCCTTCCTTGTTCAAAATTACCATATCTGCCACTGATATGTGCCCATGCATGCTTACTAAGGCATATTCAATTGATTTAGATGAGTGACTGGTAGATTTTTGTAATAGAATTCTGGCCCTGAAATGATTAAAAAAAATTACACACTCCAGTGACGTAGCATCTTTTTTTTGAAAGAGGAGGTCAGCCAGAAAAAAATCATTTACCCAAAAAAACTTGATAAGCCAAGATTAAAAAATCCAAGCCCGAAAATCCTATTTCGGGGAGAGGAGTCCAACTTCGATCAGTCCTATTCTTTTCCAGATATATTACATTACCCTTAGTGGATTATACTTCAACAAAAAGTTGGGGTGGGAGCTATACAGTTTCAATGAACATTACATTTTCTATAGTAAAGTTAAGTCTTTGAAAAGAGGGGGTTGATATTATGTGAGTGTAATTTGTCCTAATCAATCAGGACCCCCCCCCCCCCCTTCTTACCAGTCATGAAAACACAGTCGTCAACATTCATTATATACTAGATAATAGATATACAGCTTTGATATCATGTAAATGTTTTTTTAACATCAGGTAATGAACTTTTGGAATCAACATGATAAAGAGTTAACACAGTATAAAGATATTTTTAAATAACATAAGAAAGAGTTGACATAACGTAATTATATATCCACATCACGGAATGGAGTTTTGACATAATGTAATAAAGTATTGATATTATATAAAGATATGTTCACAATATGTTATACACTTTTTACACCACGTAATAAAGCACTGACATAAAGGTAAGATGTGTTCACCTCACATCATAATGCCCTCGCCGTAAATAAAGATAAATCCATATCACGTAATAATGCTTTGATATAATAGAAATATACACTCTCAAAAAGGAATGGGCTTTTGACTTCATGTAATGATAAGTTTAATTATAAAACACAATTTACTTGACGTAATGCAATTTTAACCTCACATATTAAAGAAATGAAATAATGTAAAGAAAAATTCATTTCATGCAATAAAGTTTTAACGCAATGAAAACACATTATCACTTCACATAATGAATTTTTTACTTCAAGTTATGAAGTGCTGACATAATGAAAGGATGTATTTACTTCATGTAATGCAGCATTGACATGATGTTAAGATATATTTACATCATCTCATAAAAAATGGACATAACGTCAAGATATGTTCACATCACGTAATGATAAATTTACATAATAAATGCATAGTTGTATGCATTTATTATGGCAGTGATGGCGTTCCATATTTCTTACTGGTCATCTTTCATATTATATATTCTCCAGGTTTATGATAAAAAATGTAAATACAATATCTGTTTGTAAACAAAAATGAATCATTCATTGAATTTCACTTCCACAAATAATCGAGGTATACCATCAGTGATGTGCAACTTCTATGCCATGCATTTTTTTTTTTTTACTAAAGCAACAGGTCAAGTTTATATATTTGTTTAATAGGGGTCCTAAGTGTATTACTAATGCTGGCTAGAACACGTTCTCTCAAAATCTAAAAAGTGTGCCTTTTGAAAATTAAACCAAGAGGCTCTACGGTGGTCTCTCCCTCTCTCCGGGGGCCATGGTAACAGTTTCAAGTTCGTGGCCAAGTGTTTCTTGAGTGGATTTTTCCTATATTTTCTAATTTTTAACTTTTATTCTCTATGGAGGCCCTATAATGGCCCCTCCATAACCCCTTGGGTTTTGATTTGAACAATTCAGAATCTAATCTAATCTAACCAAGGATACCGCCACATAAGTTTCAGTATTCCTGGACAATTTTTTTTTGAGATGAAAATGTGTAAACTGGCTACCGAGAAATAAAAAGCATCCAGAATAATTGTTTTTAAAGCGGCCGATCGTAGTTTTCATTGCGTAATATTTCGCGCATCATAGTAAAATGAAGCGTATTTACTGTTTTATTAAAGCAACTTTTTTCACTTGATTAATAAAATTAAACAAAATTAAGAAATTATATGTTTAAAATTGTAATTACAATTTTATATAACTGAATTTTTAACCAATTTTGCAGCTGATAGGTGGCTTGACGTCGTTATAGCGTCTTCTTGACGTTCTGATAAACTGAAGCTCTTAAAGAAAGGGGTAACAAAAATGTTTTTAAATAAAAAGTATTAAACATTCGCTCATGAAATTTAAAACTTAGAAATTTAAGAATATCTCCATTTTTGTAGTGCGCTATAAAAACAGAAAAATTCGTTAATTTTTGGCTTTTTTAAGATGCCCCTCTGGTAACAAGACGGTAGAATTTCGTGTTTCTTATATATAATGTACAATATAGTATTACTCATCATATATAATAGTTTGAACAAAAAGTCTATTTGTATAATTTGCTTTTAAATCCTAAAAATTGGCACTTTCCTATATAATCCTAATAGTAAATGTACCCATATTTTGAGACGGTCCTTTAAAAATACCTAGCCGGTAGATTTCGCCCAAACATTGCATGTACACTAAAGTTAATATGTTATGTATGTTATAAAAATGATGAGTTTTGCTATTGTATTTTTCATACAATAAAACCCAAGTCGGCCCCCTTAATTCCAAAATAGATTCAGAGAGAAAAGAGATGCACATGCAGTTAATGTCGATTTGTATTCCAGGTATTAAAAATCAATCACTTCGAAAATTGACGATGATCATGTGATGTAGATATTTAACTCCATAAAGAAAAAAAATGCAGGCATAATCAAGCGAGGATCTCTCCCAATGTATACGTCTATTTGCAATATTATAAACATTGTAAAGTTATATAAACAAGACGGGTTAAAGTCCTCACTCAGTTCCAGGGAATTTCATCAAAATAAGTGTATGAGGTAGAAGAGGCGGACATTGAAAAACAATGTGACGTTGTCGGGCGTCATGAAACTATACAGTAACGGCGTCAGGTGATCAAATAAAGTCGTTTATAATAATTTCAAAAGTAAAGAACGTATAAACCTAAAATTTATTTTTTTTCTTTTTTTGTTATTGTGCGTTTCTTATAAATTATGAGAGCACAAACTACATAGCACTAATTTTATAGCCTTAATCCACGACATTTTTGATAATCCCTTGTATATTTCAAGGTAAAAAAAATTGAATTCCCGACTGAAGCTCCGCCCTACCCTAGGCGGATGGTCATGAATTGAACAATTTAAAATCTACACTTTCCAAGGATGCATATAAGTTTCAGATTTTTTGTCCATTGGTTCTTGAGAGGATATTTTTTTAAGGTTTCCTCTATATTTAATGTAAAACTTTAATTGTCTGTCAATTCCCTATTGAAGCCCCGCTGTACCTCCGGGGGGTCATGATTTGACAACTTTAGAATCTACACTAAGTAAACCAAGAATGCTTCCATAGAAATTTCAGCTCTTCTGTACCACTGGGTTTTGGGAAGATTTTTTTAAAATTAGCATCTATTTCAATGTTAAACTTGGATTCCATATTGTGGCTCCGCCATTCCCCCGGGGGTCATGATTTGAACAAATAAAAATCTATACTGAGCACTGAATATGATAGTCACCTGTTTTTACTAATAAACAAACATGAACTTGCTTGATTTCCAGGAGTTAAAAAAAAAGATTTTTTAAAGATTGTGTTAATTTTAGTGATTTTTGCCCTACCCCTCAGGCTCTAGGGGAGGGTCAGGGACCATAAAATTCAAAATTTTTTGTTCCCCTTCACCCAGATGCTATGTGTCAAAATTAGTTGAAATTGGTTGAGTAGTTGCAGAGAAAACGTTGGAAATGTTGAAATGTTAACACACGACGCACACCGCACGACGACGGACGAAAATAAATGAAAAATTACTCGATCTTTATACTGATTATTTTGGAAACTTAATCATTGTTTGCTACCTTCACATTTTACATCCTTTTATTTTTCACAAAAAAATATCGTAGCGTCAAATTTTAAAACACACCAACATGCAGATGAGAATGTTATATTAGTGAATCCATTTCATACTCTTTTAAATCAAGATGTGCATAAATTTTTAATTAATAAAGAATTATATTATAAGAAAGAAATCAGCGCCATTTAATTTATAGAACGTATAATAAATATGTCTTAATAAAACATAGGATTGATTGAATAACAACTGAATAAAAAATATATATCTAAAACATTTAAAAGAAGATTTGAATTATTGCACAACAACAGTAACAGGTATTATTATACTTCTGTTAAAATGTTTCCTATATAAAGTTTAGAAGGTAAAATAGCTATCTTTTATAGTTCATGCATAGCAAAGCTATACCCCGGGGCATAGTTTTTGCTATCCACCCTCGGAAAATTTTCATGCAATTTTTGCCGCCAATTTTGATTTCCAGCGATAAATCTATTGACTGATGATGTCATAATGACTTCAGTAGCATTGTGACGTCATCAGGATTTCAGATTATTCTTGCAGTATTATCTTACTCCAAAAAATTCAAACCTCAGAAATTATACTATACATCAGTATAATAAAATGCTTACATGTATCCACTGGTTGTAAGTGGGATAGCTCTTTAATCAAACCCTTCACAGGGACTATTCCCCTCGTGCAAGCCCTCAGGGAATAGCTCTCTGTCGCGGGTTTGATAAAAGAGCTATCCACTCACAACCAGTGGATAAGTGTATACTATTTGATTCTGACATACCGAAACGTTGAAATTCAAACACTTCGAGTTCTGTGTTGTTTGGAGATACTATTTCTATAATTCTTCCTTTGACAGGTTTTCTGCAGATCATTGATATTGTTCTCTTTGTATCAGTGTCATTATGTATCCATGTATCGCAAATAGCATCAGGGGCACGGTAATGCTCCGTTTCTTTAACATACAATGTGTAAACTGCACCACGCCCTACAATAATGGTACAATATGATACTGACAAATGAATAATTGATATCCATTAAAAGATTATTTAGGTACTAGTGCTCACTAAGTTGGAGGGTGATGTCTATTTTATCAATTTCCGTCGACCTCTGTAATTGGATTCTCACATATGGATTAGCGTTAAACACATCAACAGAAGTGTTAAGATTACCATCCAGTGTCTGAGAATTCCCTTCGTTTTCGCCAAGAATTTGAAACAAAGTGTTAGCTGAAAAATAGCAAATCTATTAAATTATTTGTGAATTACTCAATTACATTATGGATCTCTAGTTTAACTTTTATAATCTTACCTATACATAATTTTACAAAACAATACTTCACCTCTTTGACATTTGTTTACAGTAGAACCACTCCATCCAGGCGAACATTCTGTACAGGTTTTGTTACAGTCTACACAGTGACACTCACAGGTGCCATTACTCCAGCATTGTCCTTAATATTAGAAAGTAAGAGTCTGATTGAATCCAAAATACTAATTCAACAGATATCAATAGGAATTTATTTATAATTATGTATTATTCATTTACATCTATTTTTTCTTTTGAGTAATGTTTATAAAACAATTTTTAAAAAAAAATTACATTTTTGTCTAAGGCAAGCACAAAGTTAATTATTTCTACATACAAAATAGAATCTGTCTAAAAACAAAAGCAAATGACTAATTTTTAATGCTTGATAGTTATCTTCACACGACTTTACTTTAAAATCTTGCCTTTCTTGCTTAGGTAATTAACTTTTTACCTTCAACATTTCAATAAAAAATGATTCTACATTGTAAATTCTGAAGAAACAGCACCAAAAAGCAATGAAAACAGAACACTATGTCTTTAATTTAAATACCTACTAAGAGTGTTACGTTGTAACTAAAGGTTTCCAGATTGATGTATTAATGTAACATATTTCGCCTAACATATGACCAATCTTTGCAAGCTGTTAAGGAAGCTGGGAAGATATTACAAAGAAGTTTTCTGAACTGATGTCACTCTGTCTTTCTTGGGATGTCCAAAAGTTAGGACACTTTGAGAGTGAATTCACGTTCTTATCATCATCCCTCAGTAAGAGCATACCAAAAATCAGCTTAATACATCCAGCTGCTAGCGTTTCGGAAAAAAGTGCAGAAAACGAAAAAGGATAGACTGACTTTCAGACATGGGACAGACAGCTAGACGGATGGACTGACGGACGGACGGACAGATGCAGAGGTAACCTATAGTCCCCTTTGATGTCATCGGTAGGAGACTAATAAAAATAGATATTTAAAATACTGTTTAAGCAGCGACTTCCATAACATTTTTTTATAACGTTGGTGTTACGAAGTCGTCGGAAAAAGTTTTCGAAATAAGATTTGAATAAAGATAATGAATTTTTTCAAGTGCACAGATATATCGTTTAGTTTAGAGATTTTTTTGTCCAAGTGGCCATTTTAAGCAATTATATTTTATGATATACGACAAATTCCTTCATTTATCGTAATATTACTTTTTTATCATCATAGGAATGAAACTTTTTTCGTTTTCAATGAATTCCTTATATGGGACTTAAACTGTGTTCAAAACTGCGTTACAAAATGAAAATAAAAGACTTTTATTTCGCCATATTCTTTTTCCTGCACAAATTCCAGTACATACGAGTTACAAGTGCAATAAAGAGATCTTTCATTGTGAGGCCTACATGTTAATTATATTTCGGGGAACGAATCCATTATGAATATACATGTTAATTAGTTTTTACTAAATGTAATAAAACTACATTTAACTGCCTATTCTTTCTAGGTATCCAATAAACCTCTGTATTTTTCACAGATTTAACTTTGTTTGATTTTTTAAATTTCTTTACTTCATTCACTGTTGTTATCGTCAGCTTTTTCATTTAACAGCTACACATGTAGTACACACAGTACATGTACTTCACCATTTGGATTTTTTTTTAAAAATTATATACATTTCTGGTTAGTACAAACAAAAGACCTATGCAATTTTTACATAAGAAAATTAAAACAAAAAACCTTTTATCATGATCAGGAAACATGGAAATATCAGAAAATATCCAACAGCCTCCATCTGTAAAACAATAAATTTACTCTGTTAAACATTCATTTCACAAATATAAGCAGCAAACAATAGAGTTATATCCTTTTTTTAACTGAAAAAAAATCACACGACAATATATTCCTTGGTAAAAATGGCTATTAAGTTAGAACCGTCTTCCTTCATATTTCTAATTCACGCGCATCATGTGTACACTTGTACGGAAGTATGAAGCGCCATGGCTGCCTAATGTTAGTTATTTTATTATATGCTGTGTGTCTATTATTATATAGTTTTACTGTGGTTTTATCAATATAATATGCTCTGTATTCATAGTTTTTATGCTGTGGGCGTATACATGTAGCAATATGTTGTGGATCTTTTATTAAATGCTGTGGGTTTATAAGCTTCTGGTCTCTGTATTATTATATGCTTTGGCTCCATATGCTGTGCGTTCACAATAATATGTTAAAGGTTCATAATCATATGCTGTGGGTGTTTTTTTTTATCATATGCAACGGGCTCATGATTATTTGCTGTGGATATATTATCATATGCTATAGGTTCAAAATATATTTTGTGGGTTCATAATTGAATACTGTGGTATACATGGTACATGTATACTTAAATTATATGCAGTGGTTACAATTATTATTTCAAATGTCCGTAAATGGAAATTGTTCTCAATAAACGAGCTAGTTTAATGTAATATTTGATATCAAGTTTCTGATTATGACTCAGTTCGTTGCCTTTAAAACCGTTGCGTCCAGAAAATGCAAAAGGTTAATATTTTAAATCTGAATTTTAGGTGTTTTTGACAATTTTGAAGGATGTCAAAAATCTTCTGAATTTTTTTCTTTATTGCGTTGAAAATAATGAATCCATGATTTCTTAATCCGTCTTGAAAAAGAAATTTGTTGACACGTTGAAATTTAGATGATTCAATAACCGGGTACATTTTAATCAGGCCTGTAAGAAGGCAATTTCAGAGGGTGCACAGATATACATTTTAAGCTGGAAGGGTACTATCAACTACCAAAACATATTGTGGGGGTATAAGCATATAGTAGCTTTGTTTTCTACAGTATTTTATATATGGGCAAAATTATTCCCCCAGTTCCTTCAGCCATTATAATTGTTTACATTCTCATGTCTGAGATTTCTAAAAAATTAACTCTTGCGCCAAATGATTTTTAAAAGTGTATTTTAAAATATTTATATATATTTACACCAACACACATAATGCATATTCATATCTGAATGTAAATCTATCATTGCGAATAGTAAGCAAAAAAATATAAGTATATACTAGTATTCATTGATAAAATCGAGTTTACAATGAATATGGAATCTCTAGAAAAGGTTCCCTGATTGGACATATTTTGTTGCCGAAGTACTCTACTATGAACAAGCAGCATAAAATTATTTTTTTATAATACTATAATATCATATCTGGCATATAAAATATATAAATTTAAAATGAAAAGCAGAATATTATACAAGAGAAGTTCATGTTAGAAAAAAGCATTAGATGTTCATTAGAAAAATATATAGATTTCATGTTAACTTTGTAAAAAACTTGTATGTTTAAAGACCCAGTTAAACTTTTAACAAATTTGTTATAATGACATATTTTGTTGTTTTCTTTTTCTTTGTTGTTTTTACGTTGGTTATCCTAAATACCCGGGTTAACTGGCAATTGTAAATGGGTATTGATGGGAACTTGTAATAAAAGATAAAAAAAAAAAAAAAAGCAGCATAAAATGATAACGGCAATAGTTAAAATACCCACCGCATATAATTATGAATCTATACAGCATATAATACAAGTAATAGGTACACCGCAAATAATTATGAACCCACGATATAAAATAATAAAACCTTAGCATATAATTAATTTCATTTTAAGCACTTTCATGAGATATTTTCCAAATATTGTGGTAGAAATCATGAAGGTTAATTAGGTATATAGAATTTAGGAACAGCTTAGAACATTTCATTGCAAATAATTACTCTGTGTGCAGCCTGGATGTAAAAATAGGAATACTGAAAAGTTTGAAAGAGGAAAACTGATATTTTTCTTCTTTAAAAATCCTCCTCCACAAAACATAGTGTGTCAATAAATGTTTTTTGTATGGAATTTAATCATATAGGGTCTTAATTGATAATATTCAATTAGCCTTATAGAATCGAAATTTATTATAAGAACTAGATTTTTTTTAAAAAGAGGCCAAGACAAATATTTGCTGAAAACCTTAGGAGCGAATCTCGTTAACTAGATTTATTATGTTCCACATCGATTGTTTTCCCTACATTTCGCCTGTTATTATTTAAATAAATAGAAATTGAAAATCTTTATTATATAGCTATTGACTGATTTCTCTACTCTGTCCCCAACCCCTGTAGAATAAGCTTCTTCCATAATACCTAAGGTTGCATTTATATAATTATGATAAATAATGGCTTAATTGTTTTTGAGAAGTAGATTTCAAAGATATTTCCGATATGTAATGAAATAAACAGGTTCTTATAAGAGATACTGCAGGATTTCCTTTTATTCTGTCAGATTTATTTATGAATGGAATTAATATTAAGACAGCTCTGTCTGAGACTATATCACACAGTGCTGACATTTTCTCTTATCTGGAGATGGGGACTGGGTAAGGTACTACTTGCCTAGTTTTCCCATTGATAGACAAGAACCAGTGGTCTCAATCTCCTTAACAATAACAAGGATAGATATGGGTTTCCCCACATCCAAAGATATTCGACTTTTAGATTTAACAGTGTTTAATGACTTCAATAAAAAAACTGCACTATCTTGTTATGGAACTGGTGTAAAGGTCATGAGTTCGTAGCATACCTGTTCCCCAGTCTCCAAGCAAACAGTGAACATACCCGTGTCTGCAAGACCAGTTAGCCTTGGTCTACACACGAGCGATCATGAGATTGTGAAACGCATCTAGCGAGCTCGGAGAAATACATTTGTTTTGCCGAGAAGTTACGATGATAGGTCCGGTGTTGTATAACTATTCCGGATTAAGAATTCGACTTTTCAATTTACTTGAATTTTCATCAAGAAAATATAGCCCTAGTTCATCACCGTAGCTTGGCTTTGGCGGGAAAATGACGCTTTACTTGCGTAGAAATCTGGTGAACTTTTTTTTTCTTCAAAATTTAAACATTTAACTTCATATTTGATTATATACCAGAAAATTCATTTAGTAATTTTTTTTTTACATAATTAGATATGAATACCAATTTTGGTTAATAAAAATTATACAATCCCAGCACAACTATATTTTGTTCTAACATTTGTTCTAACATTTGCATCCACAACAAAGTGTGTTTCAAATGGGTTACGAAAATCAGGACGGGCCGGGTAATTCGAAACTGAAAACCTTTTTTTTTTGGAAAATTACTGAAATATACGAATGAATTTGTCACGTAACTTACTTATATAATTCAAATTCTATATATAATAATATGCTGAGCTTCATCTTGCACCTGGTTTTCAGCTTAGAAATCTCCGGCCCGGTTTGGGTTTTGCTACACAATTAATAGTTACGCTCCCTACAATTTACACAATCTACACACGTGCAAAAATCTACCCAGGAATTGAAAATTCTGTTATTTAACAAAACACACACACAGAATGATATTTTTTTCTCTCAGAGGAAATTATATGATAATTAACGAACAATAAACATGAACTTAATGCAATTGTTGATTTAGTATAATCAATTCATCGGTGAAAAAATATCAATTGGAAAATAACCCAAATATTTTCTGTTATCAAACATGTTAAGAAAAGAATGAGGAGGGAGCGGGCGTAGGAATATTAATATTTTTTATTTGCATTTCGAGGGGAAGTGATTTTCTACAAACATATTTACGTTTATTTCGGTTTCTGTAACCTATGACATACACAGCCTTATTCTAATCTTAAAGAGTAATGTTGTATCAACTTATCATGATGGAACTATTTTTGTCGGAACAATTTTTGTGAAGCGTAACCGACTACAGTAATACATCTTGAATAAGATAAAAAGCACTGATCGAACATATTAAAAATTCAAGTAAAAAGAATGTCGGTACTGTAGTGGTAAACGCAATTAAACACAAAAGGAAAAGAATTCAAGTGTTTTAATGATTTTTTTAATTGATATTTATGAATTAGGATAAAAAGAGTTGATAATGAATCGTACGTTTTAATTTATTTTGTTTGAAATAAAAAAAAGATTCTTAATAATCCGCATTTTTATACCTATTCGATTATGCTTAGAGTTTTGCGTTATACTTAAAAACTAAATTATTCCTTTAGCTTGAAATTTTGAAGCCAAAGTTAAAGTGTTATTAATATGAAGTATGTATCAAAAAAATTTCATTAAAAGCAACAGCATTCCCTAATACATACAGGAAACAAAATTTATAACTTAGATTATATTTGGTTTGAAGGAAATTCAACATTTTGATCGAATTTTGATTATTCAGTATGGAAGTTTCCACATTTTCTAAGCAGATATCGAGTAAAAGGATAAGTTATGAGTTCTCAGTTTTGTTGAGGGGTCTTCACATAACCATATAAACTGTAAATACGTATACAATATTATTTTCACTGGTCAAATTCATTTTAAATGTCTGAGCTTGCAACAATGCTCCCTTTGACCCCCCTACCTATCGAGAGGAAGCTCCTTGATTACCTACACTTTGCACCTCAGGTAAATCTGTGACTTCACACTAGCCTACAAATTAGCAAAAGTGAATATACACCACTGACTCAGGACATACATTAGGACACATACACGCCCTTACATGCTAAAAGTAATAATTTAAGTAAATGTTATTTGTGTCTAAATAAATTGAGTATTCAACGCCTACACTTCTGTTATTTTTATTGAATTTCATTGAATTTTTTGCAATTAGAATGGAATACCTTAAAGCGGCACAGTGACGCAAAAGGGGAAAATTGACAAATGTAGAATTTTCGCCTGACCTCTCTAAATTTTGTTCAATTCCTAAAAGTATTAGGTTTCAGAAAATTAAAGGTTTCA